GTACTTCTGAAAATGGGCACTTACAGTTCTGCCACCGAGACCTTTCTAGCGCAGCACAGTTTCTAGAAGTCATATTGCAGCAAACCTTGAATTTACTCCTTGAAGTATAGAGCTTCCAGCTGTAAAATACTGTGGGATGTAGAAGGGTTCTGTGCTGATCACCATCAATCATGAGAGAGCTGCAGGAGGTCACATTGTCCTACTGCAGATTCCAACAGGGCAGGTGAATATGTAATTTTTGAGTCTAAAGGACTTTGGCACCTTTGAGCAATTCAAGCTGTGAATGGAACGCTGGCAGTATCTCTGTACAGAGATGCTGCTCTCTATTACCGTTGTGCTATTCTGCCTGACAAACTGTGTCTGGAAAATGCTGGCAACCTCAAAGTAGAGAGTGCATTTCACACCAAGGTCTTAATGTGAGTTACAGACCAGAAAAGCTGGATCCTGAACCATCAACATGTAACACAAGTTAACAAAGATCTCCTCAACATGGTGCTGGTACAGAGCACGTCTTTTCTGGGAAAGTAGGCATCAAAAAGGAGTCAAACACCAGTGTACTGGGAAATTTACAATGTGGGGTATGAGTAGTAGTGTGGTGATTTGTTTCTCAATGTTTTTTCATTATTATTTTCTACATTATTTTTGTTTAAGGCCCATCTTTTCAAAGAAATAAAAAAAATTAGCCATTGTGCTAATATTGTGTGGCTGACCACACAGATCTTGCGTAATCCCCAAATGCCCTTCTCCTGCACACCATAAGGTGTCCTATGCCCCGAGGCAGCAACACATCTCAGTCTCAAAGGTAAGGTTGACTCATCTGGATGAGTTTCACACCTGAGGCTGAGGCTGTGCAGGACCAGCCCTGGGAGGGACCCAGGGAAGGTGTCCCTTCTTCTGAGTCCTTATTTCAGGTTCCCACTTTCCTTTGTATTCCTTGGCTCCTTTGGGCTGGTGCAGGCTTTTATGGATTGATGGCTCCTGGGATGGGCCTGGTAGCAGCTGGAGCAGGGTTTTATTTAGGCTCCCCATCCTGTTATTTTCTTTTTGTGCTCCTTTGTGGGTGTGCAGATGAGCTTTTGTCACAGAACCTGATAAGTGCAGTGGGAATACATCTCATTTGTAGGTGGATTTGTAAAAAAATATTTCCTGAAGGTGTTAAGAATTGTTTTATATTAGTCCATTGAACCGATGTGGTTTTATCTTTGTTTGTTAATTGCCAGATTGGCAAGGGACCAGGGACATTCTTCAGACTGTAAGTTTTCAATGCAAATAAAACCTACCTTGGAGGGAAAAAAAAATAGACTGAGGGGGAAAAAGTTCTTTCTGTTCCTTCTCTGTAAAACATAAGAAGACAATGAAGGCAAACAATAACGATGGATTGATCCTGGTATATTTTGTAAAATGTAGACAAAGGATTAAGCTCTCCTTTATGACCATTTAATCACAACACACCCAGTTCTACACTCACAACAGAGCTTGGAGGAACCTACCTCTTCTTCTGAACTTATCTCCCTCTACTCTTCCTGGTATGTAACCTTTCACATTTTGCCTCCATTGCCCATCACTGGGTGTTACCAGCATAAATAATTTATCTCAGGGTGTAGAAAGGTGTCTTACATGAGGACAACAGGATACCTCGGAAGGGGGAGGAGTGGAAAGGTAGCAGGCAAAATCCAGACCAGAAATAAGACCTTAAGCACCCAACCACTTAAGGTAGCTTAACCTGCTGCTTGCATGAGCTAAGCTGGGATCTCTGCCCACAGGCACAGCCACAGGCATGTAGTATTAAACTCTGTTTATCTCTCAGGGGACTGTGGCTGGGAGAGGGCTGGGCACTAAATCTCTGTACCTGAAGTCCCCAGGAATTTTTTCTGGGTCTCTGAGGCCAAAATAGCCTGTTCACAGATGTGCTAATGCCGAGGTCATGCCGAGGTATGTTGATAAGGGCCATGTTTGGTATCATGCTACTTACTTGTAATGGCTTAATTTAACTACCACCCATAGTATCCAGAGGTAGAACATTCCGAACAGCTGCAGTTGGCAGCCCTGAGCATCTTCCCAGAGCAATCCCTACCCTTCTCACATCACAACACCTTGATGAATCCTTTGGAAACCCTTTTGCAAAGACTTATGAATCAAATGTGAGCAGGAGGAGATTCAGGGACAGTCAGAGATATGGTGCAAGATGCTGTGAAGAGTACAAGTAGTGATGTCTGGCTTGGATCTTGCATGTGTTATTAGAAAGGAAAAGAAGTCCTGATTCAAGTCACAGTGAACTCGAAGAAGAAAGCATTTTCCATTCATAGAATCATAGAATCAACTGGGTTGGAAAAGACCTCTGAGATCATCAAGTCCAACCCTTGATCCAACACTACCATGGTTACCAGACCATGGCCCTAAGTGCCACATTCAGTCTCATCTTAAAAACCTCCAGGGACGATGAATCCACCACCTCCCTTGGCAGCCCATTCCAATGTCTGATTACTCTCTCTGTAAAGAATTTCTTCCTAATATCCAACCTAAACCTCCCCTGGCAGAGCTCAAGATCATACCTTCTTGTCCTACTTCTGGTTGCCTTCAGTCTTCCTTTTCCTCAGGCCCTAAATCACATATGTAGTTCCTGGAGCCTTTCTGTGAGGTATATATGTATACATTTGTTATATATATATATATATACATTTGTTATATATGTATATATGTTATATATATGTATATATATCACAAGTATCCATAGGAAAAGTGAACATTCATAGGAAACTAAGTAGCAACAATTAAAATAGACCATGGAGTGTTTATATCCACATGGGAAAAAAACCTTCGGAGTTCTGGTTTCTCACCTTCCCATCACATGTTATAAAAGACAGGATGATTAGAAGTTTGAAAACATTTCAGTCCACTGTGTAAACACTGGTTTGGGTCTTCTTTTTTTTTTTCTTTCCCAAATTGTAAATATAACTTTAACCTTAGCTGAATTACAGAAATTAAATAAATAAATCTGATTAAATAAGTGCTTGTTTTGGAGGCCAGAACTGTTTTATGAACAATACTCCATTTTATAGGCTTTTTCCAAGAAAGGCTGGATAATCCTCCTCCCTCCTCCTCTGAAAAATATAAGAGAAGAGCAGGAATTGTGTTTACAAATATTGACTTGGCCTAGCGCTGACAGCAGTGGGGGTTTGACCCCCCCAGCATCACAGCTCTTGAATTATCCACTCCATAAATGGATAACTAATTTGCTTCTGGGATTTGGCATATTGGGAGGTGATAGAGGCTGTGTTTTTGTTTAGACTAACAACTATATCCAGGCTAGTAAAGCAAATGTGTTTGGGACTGCTCTGTGACACAGAGACCAGCTGGTGTGGATGGGGCTGTGCATGGGGGCTGTTCTCCTAAGCTCCCTTTCTAAATCTCCAAGTCACATAGGCAACATCCTCATCACCTCTCAGGATGCAATTCCTGAACTTTACCTGGGAATAGTTCCGAAGATTCCTGGTTAGTCCAAAAACTTCCCTCTTAAACATTAAAGCAAGCACATGATGATTTCCTGGTGCTATGTGATTTACTGTGGAAGGAGCATGAGCAGACGGGGTTAATAAAGCCTTTTGTTATCCAGTCTGACCCACTCGTCAGCCCTTGAGCTCCTATAAATGCAGTTGGAGGGACCAGACTTAAAATAAATCTTGAGGCATTTGGCAATCAGCAGCTAATTGAAGGGCACATGCCACCCATCACGTGCAGGGAGAAACCTGGAGCAAAGGCTCAAGACCATGGTCTTCGGATTCGGCTTTTTGGGACTTGGTAAATATTTACACACCACCTCGAAAATCCAAGTCTATGCTGTTTCCAAGATGCCCTGTCAAACCCTTTGGAAAAGTGGTTTGGCCTGGGGCAGCTCCTCTAAAATCCCCAGAAGAGGAGCCAGCAGCAAAACTGGGGATGCTGTGGCTACCAGCTACTCTTCCCCCACATCTGGATAACCATCACATTTGAGTGATGCAAGGAGGGAAATTCTGCATCAATGTGGCACACAGAATGGGTTAAAATGGTGGGGTTTAATGGTAAAAGTTGCATTTTTGTTCTTTGTTGGTGTGAAGCCTGCAGCTTAGCAGTGAATGAGACTTTTCTCTCTGGGTTTTTGCTTGTTCGTAAATTGGACATATTCTGACACAGTAACATGTTTTTCTTCCCACAAAACAACAGCACTGTGGGAGGAAGGAATTAATTTTTTGACTTTTAAAATCTTCTTTAAATCACTGCTGCTAGGCCCAGGACACCAAGAGGGGAAGGGTGAGCAGCTCTTTCTTCTGTATCCCCAAGGCAGCTTCATGCCTCTCTACCTCTCTCTTGGGGTCTCATAGGAACTCTCTGAGATCACAGGCTGCCATCACCTACCCTTCCTTGGCAGGAAAAACAGCAATAACCCATGTGAAACAAAGGCTATTTTATACTTTGATTTCCCCCCTCTGTCCCAGGACATGATGGCTGTTCTTGCTTGGCTTCTCTGAATCACAGGTCTAGTCCCAATCTTTAAGAAATCAAGCTGGGTGGGGGGAGCAAGAGAAAGGAAGCAATTCATCCTTCTCCCTATCCTGTTCCTCCCTCCTTTGCCGGGTGCTTTTTGTTCAGCTGCTCTGAGTTATGAACACTTTGCTGCATATCTTGTGGCTATCAAGGTCATCTTGAAGAAAGGTGGTGAGTCATTGCCATTCAAATAGTTACAAACTGTAATTCAAATAAGGCCAGAGCAGAGTGAGGAGGCTGATTCAGTACAAAGAGACTCAATGTCCACAGGTCGATGCTCTGCCCTTTCCGAAATTTCACCCTGAAATTTCTCAGTATGCAAATACCACAGCAGAGCTGGAAGCTGCTGCTGCTGTGTTCAGGTCTCTGAGCTGATCAGAAGTTTTGGGACTGGCTGAGAAAAGCAGAGAAAATAGGTTGGGAGGAATGCAAAAAAAATTCTGAAAATTATTATTCTTTCTTTTTTTTTCTGTCTCTAGGTCTCAAACTGCTCTCCATGGCTTAAATGGGCATCAAAGCATGTCTCTCTGATGGAATGTACATCCCCAAATGATCCAATCCCTCAAGAACTAATTTCCAAGAAAAAGAATAACCACCCTCTTCTTTCTACAATTTGCTTGTTTTAATGTCTGGCTTACTCTTATGTTCAAAACCTGAATTTTAATGCTGATATTGCTCCCTTTTAAATATTCTGGTACACAGAAAGACGGGTCTGTGTCCATTAAACTCTCATCAGGAGAGGGTAACAGCAGGACACAGAGAGGTGGAAGGAACTTGGAAGCACCCTGAGAAAGTGAAAGGAAATACTTAGCTTTGCCTTTTTTAAGCCTGTTTGGGAAAGATGAAGCTTCTTCCCTTACTGATGAAGGTATTGGAGTCAGTCTGTTCAACCTAAGCCCAGGGTGGTAACTGATCTGTACCTGCTGCACCTTTTCCTTTTTGCCTTACACTGGACCCTGCATTGTACTTGATCAGCAGTGGTGGCAGAACCTGAGTGGGAAAGATGGTTGTAAGGAGGAGAAATGTGAAAATGTTTACATTCGCCTTTTTGCTCATCACGGTAACATCGTTTCTGCTGAACTACACACACCAAGTGACCACAACCACCTGGGATCCGAGGCATCTCGTCATGCAGTTTTCAGAGCAAGTCCAAAAACTCTTCAAGTACCCCAGGAGACCTTGCAGCTGTCGCACGTGCATTTCAGAGATGGGACATTCGCTCTGGTTCGATCAGAGATTTAATTCAACTATGCAACCTTTCTTGACCTCACAAAATGCCTTGATCCCAGAAGACAGCTACAGGTGGTGGCTGGTAAGTGGGACTTGTGGATACAGCCCAGAGTTTGAGTGACAGTCACAGTTTCAGGCTTCAAGTGATGCTGAGCAGATAAGAGATAGTTTCTGCCAAAAGCATTTGCTGTCTCAGCTGACAAGGAAGGCAGAGGTGGGAGGAGTTGGGTGTTTGTGCTGCTGTTTAGCTCAGAGGGGCTTGTAGTGCACGTTCACTTGCTCCAAGCTAGAAAAGTCCCTGACAGAGTTAGGTGGTAAATCCAGAATTTGCAAGTGTCAATATTGCAGTTTTCTCCCTTCTCTTTGAAAGACCAGAATTCGTAAGCCGGCTGTTTTTGCATCAGATGGGCTTTTTGCCATCCGCTGAGGTAGCAAAGCAAACTCGTTGTGAAGTGTGTAATTCTCCTGGGTCTCTCCCTAGCATAAGATGTGTAAATAATTAGCAGGATTAAATGAAAAATGATTAATTGCATGCGTATGAAAACATTCTCCATTATGGCTGCTGATGTAAAACAGGCCTGGAAAGCACATGGGTGGCTGTGGATTGATGGGAAGGAGCAGCCCCAGCGTATCCTTGAGCAGGATGGTACAACCACCCTTGGAGCATGATCCAAGTACCATGAAAGCTAGTGGATACCTTGTTCACAAAGCACAAAAGGGAAAAAGGTGCATCCTGATGTTTTGCCCAGTAAAAGCCCCTTTTATATTCTCTTGAAACAAGACCTCGATTGAATAATCTACTCATGGCGTTCACTGCTGAGCTGCTAAAGCACAAGTTCTGGCTGCAGTGACCCCAGTGAAATCACAGTTGTATTGCACTTGTTTTCCCCCTCTTAGGGAAAAATAGTCCCCTGTGCCTTTCTTTGAACACACAACAGCCTCCAACTTGGTGTCTTGTGGCAATCATAATCCTTGTTATTGAATCCAGGGCTTTCAGCCCTTCTATGGCACCTTGAGGGGGCCTTTCTGATAGGCACCCATTATTGTGGTGGGGACATTTAGGTTTTGGAGGGGATGTCTAGTGCTGTGGGAATGAGGCTGTATTGGATTTATCACTTCTCACTCTTCTGACTGTTGCATTTACTGGTGAAAAATAAATGCCACTGAACTCTGACATTTTTAATTGTTGTACAAATGATATGATTGTTTTATGATGAAACCATTGCTTTTACTATGAGTCTCGTGTACTCCAGGTGCTGTATCCTTTCACCTGCTCCTTGGCCATGACTCTGATTTCCCATTGTTTGTGTTTTTTCTTGCAGCCTCCAGACACTTTTCCTTGTGGTCCCCATTGTGGGGGTTTCCTAGCTGGGCTCTGCTGAAGTTGTGAGAAGGGAACATGGCAAGCTCAGGTCCAAGTTCCCCTTGCCCTGGCTTGAGATTTCATCAGGGAGCTGAACTGAGCTAACAACTGGCAGTTTTCAGAGGAAGGGGCATACCCCAAATTGAGCTTAGTAGATCACTTGCACAGCATCCCAAGTAAAGCCACACTGCATTCTGCATTGAGAACTCACTGATTTAAACAAGAGGTTTAAATACATTCTCTCTTAAAACAAAAAAAAAAAAAGGAAGAAAAAGCTTGGGACACTCAGCATACTAAATTTGTGATTCTCCTTCTTGTAGTGAAACTGAGAGAAAAAAAAAAGACATTATCTGAATTCACAGAATCACAGAATCAATTAGGTTGGAAAAGACCTTTGAGATAATTGAGTCCAACCTATGACAGAACACCACCTTGTCAATTACACCATGGCACTGATGCCTTGTCCAGGCTTTCCTTAAACACCTCCAAGGACAGTGACTCCATCACCTCCCTAAGTAGCCCATTCCAATATCTAATCACCCTTTCTGTGAAGAAAGTCCTCCTAATGTCCAACCTAAGCCTCCCCAGTGCAGTTTTAGACTATGTCCTCTTATCCTGACCCTAGTTGCCTGGGAGAAGAGACCAACCCCCACCTGGCTACAACCTCCTTTCAGGCAGTTGTAAAGAATGCTAAGGTCACCCCTGAGCCTCTTCTTCTTCAGGCTAAACAACCACAGTCCTCTCAGTCGCTCCTCATTGGACTTGTGCTCCAGACCCTTCAGCAGCTTCATTGCCCATCTTTGGACTCACTCCAGAGCCTCAGTGCCCTTCTTGAAGTGAGGGGCCCGGAACTCGACACAGTAGTCGAGATGTGGCCTCACCAGTGCATTAAAAATTCAGCTTAACCTTAAACAGATGCTTTCAGGGGAGGTCTGTTTCTTTTTCAGCAAAATGAAAAAAACAGTGACTTTCAGAACAGTCAAAAGTCTTCCCTCCTCTGCTCCAAATCAAAGCTGTTCATTAGTTTTCAGAGCTGTCTAACCCTATTTTAGTGTTTTCTTTCTTTCTTTTTTTTTAATTCAGATCAAGTTCAAAAGAAATATACCACTTCAGAATGCAAAATCAAAGCATTCTTTTTTTTCAGATGGTAAAAATAAATCTTTTAATATTTCTAGACATTTTGTATCTTCCACCATGATGTTTGAAATTTTTTGGTGTCCCCCAAAACTGCATTGTGTATTGGAAGTCAGTAACTTACTGGAAATCTTTGCCCTAACCCATGATAAATGGAGAAAGTACCCTGACTCCTTTGAAAGATGGTCTTGGGTAAACCCAGACACAATGTGGCCTCACCTCCTCATTGCTACTGATTTCTAATGTACATGTTGTTTTGGTTAAGCTTTTTCAATACAGTCAGTGTCATTTTTGCGGTAAATAACTCCCAGGTGCATCCTGATGGCACTCCCTTTTCACTGTTCATTTTTAGGTTCATCTTCAAAGTGATTCTGAGATTTCAGCCAGTCTTTAAGAAAACATTGCTCATGGCCATGCTTTACTCTTGTTGGCTTTACCAACTCAGTAATTTGTCACTTTTTACTATATTTGTACATAAAGATGAGGCATGAGGAGACCTGAGATTGCTCAAATTTCTATTCAGGGGAGAAATGACTGTGTTCGCTCTCAGGAACTGCCTTCAGACAGTGTGGTGGTTTCTTTGTGCTGTAACTGAGACTCTGAGGTGACGGTGACTTCACTGGAGTTATTAATTACATGGCTGTGACTTTCCTGTCATGGGTTGTGTTTGGACTAAATGCAGTCAGAGCTCTTGCTGGAGAGCTGCCCGTCTACCAAGCTCAGTCTGGCCTCCCACCCCCTTTAGCTCTGTTGCTGTACATGTGAATGTTATCCATCCAAATGGTCCTGCAGCATTAGTATCCCTCCACTGCTAGGAAAGTTAGGACTGATTTCAGAGACTAATGGCCAATATTGGAGACAAAGTGGCATTTGGGGCTGAAGAATGGGATGGTTTCACTTGCTTACATGTCTACCAGGCTGCTTCATGGTTTATTTGGAGAATATATGGTTTAAACTCTTTAATCTTGGTGGAATGCAGCCTTTTGGAAGGAAATATTCCTGCCTGCTCTGAATAAAGTTGTTTGTCCATACTGGATTTAGTGCTACCATCTATGAAGGTGAGAAGGAGCAGGGAAGAGAAGGTCAGTGCCACCATCCTGCTGCACGAGGCGGGGCTGCTCTGGAGAAGCACCTGAAAACGTACCTGGCTGTTTCTGTGTTCACGGAAACAAGGGGGATGTTGTCAGGACTGCTCATTGCTTTTCATTTGCTTAAATCTACACAGCTGATAAACTCTGTCTTCATTACTTTTGTCTGGTAGCAATGGCCAAAATTCTCCTCCTGGATACACCCCTGCACCTGCTCTGTGCTCTTTGTGACTTAAAGTTGAATTCAAGTCCTCTTCTCTGGGGAAGGATCTGGGCCTTAATAACACTCCAGGCTGTAACCATTTTGTTAGAACTTCCTTCCTTACTTCCTTACTTCCTTCTTTCCTTCCCTTCGCTTCCTTCCCTCCCTTCCTGTCTCTCACCTCCTCTCTCTCTTCTTTACTTTCCCTCACCTCATTCTCAGGGACTGTGAGAGTCTCAGTGTTTTGGAAGGTGGCACCTGCTGTTACGTGATACATTCCTTTCTGTTTATATTTTCTTTCCCACCTCCCTGAGCTGGTCCACCTGCAAGTTTTCCATTGTTTTACTATGACACAAATGCTGTGGATGTTCTCACTAAACTTAGTAACCCCTATATAAGGAAACATATCAAGAATTACGTGCTGTAACACAGCACAGCATTTATTTATAGTTTTCTTGTTTTGTTTTCAGGGGTGGATGCATTGTTCTTAGTGGTCATAAAGTATTAAAAATATGAGATCAGAACATGCTGTTCTAAATTCAAAATAAACGTGTTGAGGTTGATGGATTAAAGGTGTGATAAGTAAATTCAGGCTCAGAGTTTCCTGGCAATCTTATCTGTAGCACATTGTTCATAAACTATTGTGTTATAGCAATTTTTATCTTGAGTCTTATGATATTTGAGAGTTTTGCTTTCTTTTTTTTTTTGGAAGATAGCTCAGCTCTTGAGGCCATGTTATTGGTGTATCTAAAAGAAAATATTAGTTTTAAATCATTATGTTTGTAGGAAAAAATGTAATATATGGCTTAAAAATTTGCTAATCAGCTAGTGAACAAAAGGACATCCCCAACACGTGCCCTGGGGAAGCTGTGGAAGCTGCACTTATTTTTAAGACAACGGCAGAGCTTCTTGGCACCTGAGTCATGCATTTTGAATGCTCTTTGTAGAAAATGTGCCCAAGTGCTTTGATCACCAGAAGTTTTCTTTAAAACTGGGACGCTCTCGGTGACACTTTGAAGGGTTCAGCGCAAAGAAGGAAGCGTGTAGCTACCAGACCTCTGCAGAAAGTGGTACCGAATCCAGACCAGGTCCCAGGCTCTGCTCCCAGTACCTGCCACGTGCCAGTCCCTCCTGCTGTTGCACTGCTTGGTTGGAAGCATGACATTTAAATAAGATTTGGGCACACTGGAAGAACCTGACCTTGGACTACCTCTTACCCCCAGTGGCAGCCACAGCATGAGTCCTGCTGGGCTGGAGCTGCTCCTCCTATGGTGAAGACAGATGGATGTGAAGGTGGTCCAAGCTCGCAGGTCTCTCTAAGCACTGTGATGCACTGTCCTGAGCTGCAAACACCCTGAAGCCAGAAACAAGGGCACACAGAGCTTGCACAGGCATTGTCTTGACACAAAAGTGGCATAGAGATGACTCATATCAGCCATGGCAGTCAGAAATCACACAATTTGGCATATGCATATTATTGTGTGCTATTTACATAATATATGCACATATGCATTCATATGTGAGAGTGTAAATTTTTTGATGACACAAATCATTAAACAAAGACCAGACTCATGAAGGCGTCTATATTCTTCCCCTTCCAACTCTTTGATGCATAGGAATTACAGGACAATAATAATGCCATATTTTCCAAATCAAGGGGGAATTTTAAGAATCGATGGTTTCCTTTTAACCTCCCCTTCAGTCTGCAAAATGGAGATTACCTGGGTTTGCCCCACCAGAGTTGCTATGATTAATCTTCATATAATGTATAATGTCTTATAGTGTTGCATGACTGTAGTGCCTCCAAACTGCTGCAGCAAGGCAATTAGTAGCTGTGCAAAAGAGGTTCTCATGGGGCTTTATTCCCTCTTAAACTTTTAAAAACAGTTCAAAAATTTAGAAAAACCACAAACCCCAGTACTGCTACACCAACTTCCCCCAGCTGCCTGGCTGTGTGCTGGCAGTGATGCCTCATCAGTACTGGCTGCTGCCAGACCCACACCTATACCCATCTGCCTTCATATGTGTTCTACCTGCATCCACATCACACCAAAGATTACAAGTTAATCTATTCAACCTGCTAATAATTTGGGTTTTTGAAGTTGTGTTTAATACACTGCCAAACTTGACCATTTGTGCAGGGTGCACAGGCACCAGGACAGCATTCCTTTGAGGTTCTCCTGACTCCTTTGAGGCCCCAACATAAGAAGGATGTGGATCTCTTAGGCCAAGTCCAGAGGAGGTTGGGAAGATAATCAGAGGCTGGAATACCTTTCCTATAAAGACAGACTGAGAGTGTTGGGGTTGTTGAACTTGGAAAAGAAAAGGCTCCAGAGAGATCTTATTGCAGCCTTTCAATACCTAAAGGGGGCTACAAGAGAGCTGGAGAGGGACTTTTCACAAGCGCATGTAGTGGTAGGACAAGGGGTAATGGCTTTAACCTGGAAGAGGATAGTTTTAAGATTGGTTATTAGGAAGAAATTCTTTCCTTTGAGTGTGGTGAGGCACTGGCCCAGGTTACTCAGAGAAGTGGATGCCCCATCCCTGGTAGTGTTCAAGGCCAGGTTGGATGGGGCTTGGGGCAAGCTGATCTAGTGGGACCTGTGTCTGCCCATGGCAGGGGGGTTGTAATCAGATGATCTCTAAGGTCCCTTCCAACTCAACCCATTCTAGTATTCTATGGTTCAATGGCTGTAGCTGTATCATCACCACTCCAAGCTATTAGCTCTGAGAAGCCTTGGCTGAATTTACACTCTCCCTTTACAACCCCTTAGCCAAGTTTTTGGGTATTGCTTCTTGCAGTAGCTGTCGATGTGATCATACCAGAGAGCTCAGTAAAACCTTCTGAGCAGTTTATAAAAGCAGCAAATCCCTTATCCTTAATGAAGGTGCATGCATAGTGATGAAAGAAGGAACAAACACTTCCTTGGAAAGCCATTCATGGCTAAAGAAAGAAAGAGCATAAACTTGGAGGGTTCTTTTTCTTGCTTTCCTTTTTTTTTTTTCTTGCTTGATTTTTTTAAAATAAGAAGATGTAAATCCAACTAGTAAATTTCTGTATGTGAAATGCAGAGTTTTTAAGGCTGGATAACAGCTTAGATAACATCTTCCCTGTGAAGATGATTAGGAAACTTCTCAATCGGAACTCCCGATTACGATTTTTAACAATTTAGGTGAAGAGTTAATTCTCAAGTGCCAGACAAATATTTTATGAAGGGAAGCTGGAGAGTTAAGTGATCCATTAATATTTTATATATGGACAGAAGGTGGATTAAGATGCTTTGTGATCTTGGGCAAGAGGTTAAACTGCTTCTTTAGACACAGGTATTACTTGCACAGACTTCTGAGAAAAGCAGTCACTTCACTCAGGACACAGGGATCAGGTATTTCAGTGTATATAAGGCCACTTCTAGCAGCTATATCCATATGCATATCCCTGTCACACAACTACAGAACTTGGAGAGAGGATGTTGTCCCAGCAATGCCACATGGCACTGCTATGGCTCTGCCTTGCACAGAGTGGACAAACTTTCACCCAATGCTTCTGTTGATTTATGGGAAAGGCCAGACTTTGTTAAAAAAAAATAAAATTACATTACTCAAAAAAAATAGGACAAAAGTTTGGTGTGGGAAAGTGAACTATAATCGGCTTGTAATTTTAATGCTATTAAAATGGTCTTTTTCAATAAGCCAAGCAAACATTGTGCAATAAGGCATTGGCTGTGCATTAGATCTGAACTTTTAGAAGTTAGATATGCTTTGGAGTTAACCACCTTTGTTCCCTACTCTTCTCTGTTTTGTTGAAAAATCAAAGACTGACTAGTGTTAATTGAAGATCAGACCTGAAAAGTAAAGTTCAATCAGATGATCATTGAGGAAATTTAAGCAGAGGACTTGAAATGAGTTAAGGACAAATGTCTCATTGTATGAATGTCCAGCACACAGTGCAGTAAGGTCATCATCCTACTTGAGGTCACTGAGAGGATTTCTAACATTAATAATAGTCTTTCCTGTTGGAGTTGTGCACAACTGAGGGATTGTAGGATGATGGTATCCTGCTTTCAGGCTTATGTTGGTGCCCATGTTTCAACTTGTTTGCAGTAGTTACTCTCTCTACACTGACAGCAGCATGACAGAAAGGCAGATACCTGTGTTGTGCAAATACAGGTGCCTATCCAGGATGTTTTTTACCATTTTAATGCATCAAAAATGCATCAATACTCCAGGTCCTTTCCTTTTATGATTCTGTCATTCTGGATGAAAAGGCAATTTAACCTAAAAAGGGAGCCCAGGTAGAATTTTAGAATTTTCTCAAAATTACCTTCCACATCTGAATTTTCTCAGGTAAAATCAGTTCAAGAATAAGATTTCGGTGGTTTTGCCTTTCATTTCTTAAATACAGTTAAAATCAGCTCACCTTTACAGAGAGAGAGTATACATGGGTGTGTGCAAATGTGTATTCAAATAACTCAAAACAAGTTCCTTTTTTAAAAAAGGTCAGATTTTACTTCATTATACACCTGCTACTACACTCTGTGACATCTATGAAATCTCCAATTATTTTGAAGGCTACACACTTCCTAACATTGTTTTTCACATATTCAGAGTAATATCGGGTTAGATTGGATTCACAAAGAATACACAAGGGTTTCGATATGTGGCCATGTGTTTTTATTATCACACAGGAATTTGGAAGACAACCTTTTTCACTTAAATAATTGAGCCATCCACTGAACAGTGACATATGTGGTCATTAATGTAGTATTTGTTTGGACATCCTAATTACCTTGCATCCTAATCACCTTCTGCAGTCCATATGCAAGTATATAGACTAGGAAGGATTAGTCAGAAGATTAAGTCTATGTATGCAAAATGTCTTTGTCTTCTTTGTTTCGAGTTCTTAACATCATCTTGTAGCTCTGAACTCCACAGACCTGTTGTTCATTTCAGTGCAAATAACGTTCTGCAAGGAGGCAGCATGGAATTTAAACAAAAATTACAGTACTACATCTTTTTGTGTGAGAGAGGGAGATACAAGGACAAATTAACAGTTCCTGGTGCAACCAAGGGAAACGCATTGGAAACTAAAGCCAAATTCCCCCAGGCCATTCCTGGGAGTTGTGGGAAAAGGTGTTTCTCTTCTCTTCCTCCCTGTCTCTCCTCACCCTGGGCTGGCAGAGCAAGACAGAGCCTTTTTGGCCCATTTTGTGCTGGAGCCATTCTCCCTTTGTGAGCTTGCAAGCAAGTAACACCACGAGGGAGGGCAATGGTGTCTGTGAACCTGCCAGCACTCCCAAACTTTTTAGTAGACCTCAGAGAGCTGAGCCCCGGAAAGGGAGTGTCTGACCATCACCCACCCTGCACCTTGCCTGTACCTTCCCAATCCAGCCATTGTTTCCACCATGCACCATAGAGCTGCTACAAAACAGTTTCCCTCCATGGCAACAGACACAATGACCAAGGTCCGGGTGGTTTTCCTCATCCTGGAGATTTTTTTTAGATGATTTTGCATCTCCAGCCCTCAGGGCTAACTCTACTATAATTTTCTATTGCACAAGCAGCTGGTTCCTCCACACTTCACTTCCCATCTCCCTCTCCCACTTCTAGCATATGCCAAAATATGTGGAAGGGATATAAGCCATTTCTGTGTTCCCTCAGGTTCCCTGAGACTTTTCTGTCCTTTTTAGAAGAACTGAAAGACATTATACAAGTCCTACCAGAAGATACCTGGTCCAGGGTGAGTGTAGGCTTACAGTGACCAGAGGAACATTTATTCTGCTAAGGCCAGCCTTGGGGAGAATGTGTGATCTGTTCCTTCATGGCTAGACAGTCTGAGGATGTGTGGGAATCTGAGGAGATGGAGGAGAAAAGGGGAGTCAAGTTTAAAAAGTTAATGGGAAATGGTTTTTACTTTATTTTTTTCACACTTTGGCTCCCAACCTCAAGTCTAGTGAAGACACTACAGAAAGCAGTGTCTTCAGGTGGACCCAAGAATGATCTTTGAGGAGACATTTGAAGCTATGTCTAGCTCACAGAAAAGCTTTCTGTATTGATAACCTGAAATGATTTTTCTCCCTAACAGAAACTGCAAGCAGAGAAAGCTCCGAGGAATTTGAACACTACTCTCACAGAATTGTTTGGGGTCATTCCCGGGGACGGGGATCCCCTGCAGGAGAGAGGTACTTACACGTGCAGACGATGTGCTGTCGTGGGCAACTCTGGGAACCTCCGGCAGTCGCAGTATGGCCGAGATATTGATTCCCATGACTTTGTGCTCAGGTAAGTAAAAACCACCTCAGCTCCAGATCCCTTTTTTGTCTAAAATTCACCGGTATTTTGGGTGACAAGTGAGCAAACAAGACTTCAGGGGCTATCTAGTGAAATCTGGTGCTAAGTCAAATCTAAGTTCCAGGAATATAAATTATGTGTGTTGGAGATATGACCCCATGTTTTAGCTTGGAAAAAAAAGTGTTAATAGCTGTTGATACTGTAGCTTGTTCCACATGATCCATAATCATCCATGTTAAAAATCAGAGATGAAAAAGAAATTGTCAGTTTTGAATAAAAACTACTTCTGCAGCTATTACTCACAAATGATCTTTTAGACATTTAACTGACTATATCAGATTTTACTTTCTTGCACTGGTTCATTCTCAAGCAATGGGGTGGGGAAGCCAAAATCACTTTTGAGTGGACAGGAGGCAGCTGTCTGGCTGCAGGTACTTTTTAAAGGATCACATCTCCTTTCCCTTTTGAGGCAATGAAGTTGGCTACTTTGTCCCACTGAGATGCAAGCAGGAACTAGGTAAGCAGAGCTAATCATCCAGATGACAGCCAAGATTCCTGGACTGACTAAGTTAATCTCCAACATATTGTCTGCCTTTCACACCACACCTACCAGTACAGTACAATTTGGGGAGAAATAAAGGGCAGGAAGGGAGGGATTGAAAATACCACAAGTAGGATTACACTCTCAGAAACAACAAAACACTCAGTAGGAAGTTGTGCACTGAAACCAAGAGTAAATCAACAAAAGATAAGCACTATTTGAATTGTTAAGCCATCTTGGCTTCCAATGTGACTCAGACATACCATAGAGTCTTCAGACGACATCTAAATGTCCACAACAAATCACTTCAGGAGTTGCTTCTTTTAGCTGTGTATCTTGCTCCCTGCCAAAAGTACCTCCCCAAAGGCAGAGGCAGCCAGCCTGGTCTTGAGATCCACAAAGGGAAAGGTAGAGCCCTCAACACTAGTCCTACAGGTTGCAAATGTGGGGCAGCTGCAAATGTGGGAAGCTGTGGTGCATTTATGCCAAACTCTGTGTCCATCCCTATGGAGACCGTCTCATTCCTGCGTGGACTTTCTTATATTGCCTGGCCTATGTTTCCAGATTGATACAGAAAAGGCTTTGCTTGACTTAAAGTGATAACTAAAGAGTAACACACTCAGGTGCATGTTTCTGCTCTGAGGACTTGCCCATCCCACAGCCATGCATCCCTGGCAAGGGCAGAACTCTCTGTGACTTGAAATTGAACCTTCCAGTCTCCGATTTATATTTCAGCAATCTTAAGCCAGATCTGAAAGGATTGTACAAGGTTTTAGGATTCACCATGGGAATTTGTGCAGAGAGGGTGATCCCTCTGTGCGTCAAACACAAAATCTCTGGTGACCTGATACTCACTTCCACGTGCTCTGGCAATACAGCCGAGTGTAAGGAAGAGCCAGAGAGTCTGAGGAGACACCTTTCCTTACAGCGTGTACCAGCTCACTTTTATTTGCGTAACTATCTACTTTCATGACAGAAGGGAAATTCCTGCTCAGTCCTTCCTGCTGAGACTGTGTGTGAACACTACCTTCTGCCATGTGGCACAACCAACCCCACCACGGATGATAGGAAAGGTACACAGATCTGAGGGCAGGTTGGAAGGTTGCAAGATAACTAAGATGTTGCCATTGTCATCATCTTGATAGAAACAAACCTCCATATTTTATACCTTCAACTGACTAATCTCAAGATAAAACATAGAAAGTCTCAAGCTTTACTGGTATTTTTACACTGATAAGGGTCACTGGCAGGGAACCCAATAACAGGGAACTCAATAAGAAATCCATGTAGGCTGGCAGGCTATTCTGCCTACGCTAATAACTCCCTCATAGGGAGTTAAAAGAAACTTAAGTAATTCACGTGGGAGAGCACTGCAATAACACAACCTGGCATAGACTTGATAAGCAGATTTTGCCTCCCCTGTTAGCAGCATCCAGGGCAGCATATTATCTGGCAACGTACGATGCTCCTCATCACCTCATCAGCTACATCCTTCCTTGTCCTCCTTGTACTTCTGCCAGGAATGAGCTAATGTCACTACAGAAAACCCCATTGTGCTCAGAGACAGATGAAGGGTTTCTCCATGGTGTTTCACAGCACCATGGATTTGTGCAAGTTGCTTTGGGGATCTTTGATGTGCACTTTGGTGCACCACAGAAATATGCAGATCTACCACCAAGGGGCTAAAGCATCAGGGGAAAGAATTGCTGATGTGTTCCCAGATTTGCTTTCAGAAGCGAACACAAGCATAAAGGCATTTCTGCAGTTCCAAAACCCCCTAAGTTCAAAATCTCCCTCTCTGTTTCCTGATACACACAACACAAGGTGGGGTAGCCCTGTTTGGCAAACACGTCTTGACTGAGCCCTGGTGGCCCTGGGCAGATCTCCATGCACTGACCCCAGAGTTGCCTAAAGCAGCTCACATGTGTGCACAGTCACCCTGAGTGAATGTATCAATGTTGGGGGAAACACCACAAAGTAAGGTTTGAGTACATGAAGGGTCAGCAGCAGGTCCTGTATTTGTCACTGTGGCTTTGATGTCTTTTCATGGGACAACCATAAGGAATATTGGCTGCTCCTCATCACACATAACATCCTTGATTCTAGACATTCAAATACACCTGTAGAGGTGGGGGGAAAGAAACTGCAAGAAGTCAAGCTGATGTACTTCAGGGCAATGTTTTTCTCACCAACTGGAGGATGCAGCTTTAGGATGAAATGAGATATGTCCTGGACTCACCACTTTTTTAATCAGCTCTCTTCTGATTGCAAAGGAAAATCAGGAATATGATCAGAGATATACCTTCTTGGTAGACACTCCTATTCAATCAAGAAATTCCACACCAAAGCTGAGCTTTCATTTACTGTTTATCCATATGAGTGATGATCATTCCAGCTTGCTTGAGGACCCCAACACCCAGTCAAGGCTGTGTGAAGAGCCATAGGAGCATGTTCCTGCCGCTCAAGCAAATGACTTTCACATGTGTTTGTACCTACCTAATTCTTCTGTTTCTTCACTTTCTCACTTTTTACTTTTTGGCTGCAGAATGAACCGCGCCCCCACCACTGGCTACGAATCAGATGTTGGGAGCAAGACCACTCACCACTTTGTTTATCCTGAGAGCTACAAAGAGCTGGCAGCAAATGTGAGCATGATCCTGATCCCCTTCAAAACCCTGGACCTGCGCTGGGTTGTCACTGCTCTCACCACAGGCACCATCAACTTGTGAGTAGGGGCAGGCACAGAGGATGGGAGCTCTATACTTCATGTTGCTGTAGGAGATCGTAGCTTACATGGGGCAAATCCCTGCTTCTGATAAGGCCTAGGGGTGCTTTACAGCCCTCTCAAATCAGAGTTCAGCCCTGAACACTTATTTTCTAGGAAAAGCCTAATGTTATGGTGCAGTCATTGAGGCAAAGATCCAGAACCATTTCTTCACAACCCCACACAGTGTTCTCAGAGATATGAAAAGGGGAGTTTTTGCTGCTGAAGGCAGCCAGGTTGAGCAGAAGCCTCCTGAGCTTTGGGATTCAGTGCCTCATTTTGGGTTTCTGCTCATCTTTCCTTGTCTCTGGTCCCTTGGGAGTACAGTGAGTGCAGCCAGCATGTACCCATCAGAAAGCCATCTGCAGAATCGAGTGTTTGGTGGGTTATTCATTTAGTGGTGGTCCTAGACACCTACATTATCCCACCCAAGACACTTGGGTGGCCAAATGGTCCTCCAACATACAATATTCCACTTGTAGAAGAGAATAAGGAGGGAGAGGTGTGTGCAGGTTGCTCACCTGAGCAGTGAGAGCAGATGCAGCACTTTGTGTCCCATCCACAGCATTCTCCCCTGGACAGGTTGGTCAGGAATTTGGTCTGTCTTTCCTGGTGGAATGTGATTGAGAACTGTGCAGAGGAGACAACGTTCTGTGTGTCACCTGCATGTCTTAGTCTTAAATTCAAGTGTTCTTCTTGTCAATAATGTGCCACACTGGAATTTATTCTCCAGTGCTTCTTTATGAGTGCTGTCAGAAGTAAAGGTTGTCCTGCTTAATATGGCAGCACCAGAATTAGAAATGCAATCAAAATGCATATTTCTGCTGGACGCCTACTACCAGATTCTCTCCCTTCCCATAAGCTGGCTTTTCCTAATCCAGAGAATGAAGTATGTGACATTTGTACTGTGTGTGAAATTATCTGCTGGATGTAAAACCACAGCCTTGTGGGATTACTTGGTGGCACCCTGCAACACACAGACAAAAAGAGCAGATCAGATTACTTGATTCCAGAGAGAAGTATTTCAAGACATTTCAACTTTTTTCCCAATTTCAAAGTCTCAGAACATTTCAAGCCTTCAAGCCTGCACAATGGATTTTTTAGGTGAGACACAGTGTGCGCGGAACTGAACCCACCCTTTAATCCTGAGGTTCATCTGCCAGGACCGAGCGAGCTTGGACGGTGGCAGTGAGGTCCTCAGGACGTAGGTTTGATTAGAGTGACTTTCTCTTAGATGGATGGCCTTACAGGGCTAAGCGAGCTCCATCTGCCCGGGTTTGGGATTGGAGTTGTCCTTCTCCTAGGATGACTGCCAGGAGGCTAACGAGCTCATCCTGCCCAAGAATGTATTAAATCTGGTCCTATGGTTTTGATCTGTCTGGTATGGGCGACCGTACTGGAGGCATGTACCATATAGCTTGCAACCACACAGGGGTACAGAGACTATGTTCCTATGAGAACGCTTTGGGCAAGTCTTTCATTTCCTGCTTTATTATCACCTACCTATAAACAAACTGAAGGAGGTACCCAGGGACAACCCTTTGTCCTGTCCACCGTTTCAGGATGTAACAGAGCAAAGCAAGTATATCCAGAACATGCCGAACCTGGGCAGTAGCCACAGGAGAACCAAAACCAGACAGACAGAACAAACAAAGCAAACATTCTGACCCCAGTACCCATCCAGGCGGGGGTGCCTTTTATTGGCCCCAGCCTGGCGGGGACCCCCATTATTCTAAAAGAACCCACTATCCACCCTGACCTTATCCTTCCCCCACTGTGTTTCCACATATCTTCAGGCACCCTACTCACCTGCGACATTTCATACGGGATTGTGCCGCTCTCCCTCCTGCTGGTTGGCGGCCCCCCACGGCCCGCTTGACACACTACACTAATCCTCCCCCCACCCAACCCCTCCCCCCCCAGCCCTGGAACGCCAAACCTCTGTGTACTCCGAAGCTTCCTTCTCCTCTTTCATGGAGGCGCAGTACCTGCCGGCAAGGCTCCCCCTGTCTCTCCTCTCTCCCACAACGGCCGCGCCTGGGGGCACAACCGCCCTCAGAACATTTACAGCTTGGAAAAACATGTCCTGTGCATGTTGACTGGGCATAAGACCCACTTTGCAATTTTACAGAAAGCTTTTTGATGGAACAAAAAATGAAGTTTATATATTCTTTTTTTTTTTTCTTTTCTCTCTTTACATTTGCATTTTAGATTATTTACACTTCTTATTAAGATTTTCTTAACTTGTAACAAATCTGGGTTAGTTTCCTTTTACCCTTTTCACCACGAGCATTTAATCGATATAGTGGTAAGTTGTCTTGAAAAAAATCCACCCTCAGGATACCCTTGTAACTTGGAAAAATCAGGCCACTTAGAAAACTGGACAGCTCAGAAAGACACTGAGGTGCTAGAGCCTGTCCAGAGAAGGGCAATAGAGCTGGTGAATGGTCTGGAGCACAAGTCTGATCAGGAGCAACTGGGGTAGCAGGGATACTCCAGATAGTCTGGAGTAAGAGAGGGTCAAGGGAGACCTTATTGCTTTCTGAAAGTACCTGAAAAGAAGTTTGTAGTGAGGTGGGGGTCAGTCTCTTCTCCCACGTAGCAAGCGATAACACCAGAGGACATGGCCTCAAGCTGTACCAGAGGAGTTTTCGATTAGACATTAGGAACAATTTCTTCACCAACAGGGCTGTCTAGCATTGGAACAGGATGTCCAGGGGAGTGGTGGAGCCACCATCCCTGGAGGGATTTAAAAGACATGTAGGTGTGGCACTTGGGGATATGGTTTAGTGATGACTTGGCAGAGCTAACTTCTGACTCAATGATCTTAGAGGTCTTTCCAATTTAAATGATTCTATTTTTCTATGGTTCTATAATTCACCTTGGCACACCTTTTGCAAGCAGATCTACTGCCTATCCTTGCCCCAGGAGAAAGCTCTAGGCACTTCCTGAGCTCTGAAATCTGCACTGCAAGTCGAGTGAGCCCTTAGCCTATTAGGAAGATATAACTGGTTGACTATAATGCAGTCACAGCACATTAAAGGGAAAATATTTTTGCTTAATAAATCACAGGATATATTATATATTTGTAAGTAGACTGTATACATGGGCTTGTTAAGCACCTGGTATAAATTAGTGTGTGAGTATTTAACTACACAGAAGAAATACCAATATTTTATTATTTTTTCCATACTCAAAGCAGGGAAATTGCATAATTAATAAGCTGGTATAATTCTAGAATAATAAAAACAGGGAATCATAAGCACACAAATCATAGCAATATATGTAACATAATTTTAGGCTAGCAGAATTAACCTGTGAGCACACATTAAACATACCATGTCAGATACTGTGTATAAGGAAAATGTTTAGTGTACATTTTTAAAGGGGAGAAGGCATGAAATAAAAATAAAACACATCTGAAAACTGGCAATTCAGAAGAAAAGAAGTACTTACTTCCCTTCCCTGACCTGCTTGGTCATCATGCCTTGTGCACAGGCTGCATAGTGTCAACTGAGTTTAGGCTAATAAGAATCTAAGTACACTCACAGTCAAAAAAGATAAACATCCTGTATTGGTTAGACTTTTACACAGGGTTTAATTTTCTGTATCCCATTCAAATGAAAGAATAATTTCCTAAAACTCAAAACTTGTGAATTAAACATATTCTGCTCCCAGTAATATACCAAGGGTTTTTTTGGTTCAAACCAAAATCTAAACCGCAGATTGTCTTCATATTACTTTGAATTGATAGCTGAATGATTTTCTGAGTCATATCCCATTTGACTGATATATCTCCCATCTTAAAGTGTCTCTCTAAGACTAAGCATTATCCCAGAAAAGACTAAGAAAAGCCTTTTCAGGGATACGAAACCTTCAGGCCTTCATCTGCCATATATTTAGCCTAGTTGCCTTAACTTGCCTTCTACGTCTTCTAGGAATCTGCATAGTGCAAAAAAAGCTCCACTTGGTTTGGCAAGGACTATGTTTGTATTCCTTGAAATGTTGCACATCTTCCTCTTGCTTCAAGGGTTCAGTAAATGTCTTGTGCAAGGTGTCCAGGAACAATGGCAGGCTTCACTAGAGCCCTTCAAAGTTGCTCCTAGAAGGTGTTTCCCAAATGATATGTTATACCATCTGTAGCCACCTTCATCACAGGACACTCTCTCTCACTCCTGTGTGGTACTTACTGGGTCACTCAGTCCCTGGCAGCCCTGCAGCCCAGGTTTTACATAATCGTAAGAGCATAGGTCTCCATTTGGTGTTTATCAGTGTACCAATATTTTCCGTGCAATTTTATGAAATTCTGCAGCCCAGTGACAACAGAACTTGGGTATTCCTTCTGAAAGAAGCCCTTTTTGTCTTCATAACCACAAAAAGGACATGGGATCACCAAGACTATGTCTGCTGATTTGCTAACCAAGGTCAGACACGGGAAGCAGCTTCAAGGGCATATTTTTCTGAGAGTAGATCAAGAAGTCTGCATCAGTGTCCCTTTCCCCATTAGCATCTTGTGTCACCTCTCAGAAGGGCAGGAACCACCCATCATCTTTCTCAGTGCATCCAGCCTAGAGCAGGAATCGCAGGTCAGGGATGTCCAGAAGTACCTAAGGAGACAAGAACATTGACAGGTCACCACTGGCTTGGGAAGATTTAGACTAAGATTTCAAAGTGTTTATGTTCCACGGTTCAAAGAAAATAAAACATTAATGACAGGAGCCTTGTAGTTACCAAAAACCAAGTGAAAACATTTACATTAATCTAATGGCTTTGGTGACTTACCACAACACATCTAAAAAGTATGCAAAGTATATTTTGGGATGTACTTCAATTATGAGGCCAGTTCACCAGAATTTTTTTACTTGAAATGAACTCAGGGAGATTTTTTTTTTACAGCACTTGTGATGATCTGTGCAATGCCAGCACACACTGTGCATGAGATATGGGAACTAAAAGTTTTTTGTTTTCAAGTCATGACTTGTGATTTCAATCCAGTCATAAGGCATAACTCGGAATTTTTATGCTGGGAACCACAGGAAGCCTTCAGCATTACCCTGGGGAGGAGGGGAGTAGCTTGCTGGTGAGGGGCTGTGTACTGGGAATGCCGAGTTGCACATAACCACAGAAATGATGAACTCTGCTGCCACAGACTCGGAAAACCGTGAGGTCCAAATATTAGGAGGGGAAAGGTCTCCCCCTGGTGGAAAAAGGTTTTTCTGCCATGAAATTAAATGGAAAGTCCTTCCCATCCTCAAAGTGCAAAGACTACAACAGTCGCGATTCAAGAATTAGAAGTCTTGAGCTCCACATAGTATTGTCTCTACGGTATATTCTTAGCTAAATCTTCGTTGTCCTACTTTCAATAATTAGTTTGAAAATTTAAGAACAAAATGGTTTCCTATAAACTTGCTTCAGTGACAACTCAATTCTTTTCTTGCTATGTTACTTAACTGCAGCCTCATTTTACAACAACTTCTTGAATTAACTACTTTCAATTAATTTGAATTTATTATTGTGCATAAAGAATATTCTTTATTTGGAATTACTTGAAAATACCGATAAGTTGGGCTTTTTATTTATCTTATTACTGTTTTTGTTTTTCTTTTAACAGCACATATGTTCCAGTTCCACGGAAGATCAAAGTCAAAAAAGAAAAGGTGAGCGATGCTGGTTTGGGCATTATGTTCTGCTAATTCACTTGTAGGTCATTTACCTCTTTCGGAGGCTGCAAGAATCTAAGCAAGCCCTTGACATTCATAAAAAGTTGCAGCCAAAATACAGACACTTTACAAGTCTCAGCTAAGCTAAAGATTTAGCTCCTGTGTGCCATTTAGGCCATAGAACAACCACTAAATAACTGAGGTTGGAAAGAAATTGCTCTTGTGATGATTCCATTGTACGAACATTGTTCTGAAGGTTGCATCACTTCCTCTGGTGCTGCTCAGGGACATTAAAAGTGCATCGTTGTCCTCCACAGCAGTTGCTCTGTTGCCACCCATTGCAGTCATTTGGATGTAATGGCACTGTGGAGAGATTTTGGAGGGTTTTTTTCTAAATCATGGTACTATTTGAACACCTAGGATGTTTCTCATTCCCTGGTCTACTCCTTGTAATAAGGAGCTAAGTGAACTCTGAACAAATAAAACTATGAGTTTCTAAGTCAATGTAAAATTCCTGAATGTAGGCTCTTAGCCCACAGCTAAGCTGTAATAACTACCTTTACCAATTAAACAAGTTTGGAACATGTTTTGGAGGACAGCACAGACCAGCGAGTATTCCCTGCTTTGTACAGAGATGGGCTGGAGGTAGGATTTCCCATGAGTCAGGATGCTGATTCCCATGTTGGACCCTAAGCCACCCTGCAAAGACTTCTGTTGTTGTAGCTTCCTGGTTTGAGGACATAAACAAGGCAGGCTGTGTAGGGAGAGGAAAAACATCTTCCATAGAGCTTCCAGCAAAATAAAAATCTCACTCTCTCAGCCTTTGGAGAGGCTGATTTTCAAAAGGAGTCTAATGTCTCAAGGGCTCTTAAAATATGACTTTAGCTCCAGAGCATTAAAATTACAGAGCACACACCCTTCATTCAAGAAACCGGGTTTTGCCAAAGGCTTCAGATGAGACCTTGAACTAGAACATGTTTATATCCCTATGCTTCAAACCATGGACTTCTAGGGTGCATTAAATAATCCCTTAGCTCATCCCAACTGTTGTGATGAACATGATAACCTCTGCAAAACCCCTGTGAGATGCACTAGGGTGAGTTGTTGAGTAGCAGCAGCCCGGGGTGCAGGTGGTGATACACAGCAGCTTCCCAAATGGGGAGACGAGAGCTTGTATCTCTTCCCACACTGTGCAATGCAAAACACCCTGTGAGAGGCTATTACACACGGATGCAATATCAGCAATTAACTTCTGACTTTGTAAAAGGAAAAGCCCTGCAGCTAAACAGATAGCACTGAAATGCTGTCACTCTAATTAAAAACACAGCATGGAGGGAGGGATAAGCCTCCATTTGCCTCATTCAGGGGAGGGCATTGAAAACAAGGAATACCACCATTCCCTGGATTTACTGTATGCTCATGTCTGATCTTAAATGTTCCATCTCTGTAAGATAACTCACAATCTCCCAGGAGATAATCAAGTGTATTTTATGTCTCGTAAGAAAAAGTATAAAGCATAGGAAAATAGCACATTTGAGAAACAAGGGGAAAGCAGCTGACACTACCTGACAGGCTTCCTTATAGTTTACACCTGATCCTTGGTTTCCTGAGATCTGTACCTATAGAGATACCAAGACATGGTTGGCATATTGTGCAGAAAATTCAAATTACAGTTGAGCTTGATGATCTTCAGAGTCTTTTCCAACCTAAATTAATCTGTAATTCTATGAAAAGTGTCATGGTGTCTCATGCTTGCCTTGCTCAGAACTCCAACCTCCCAGAGCTCAGGGAGAGTTGAATGCCTGATGTCTAATCTACATCTCCATCTCCCTTGTGCCATTTCATACCTGTTGCTTTCAGTAGGAATCACCAGAATTTACGTTAGTGTAAGCAGGTGGGATATCAAGACCAAAGAAGGACTATTCATATGTAATTGCACATGAGAAGTGTTCCTGAATGCATTTTATATGGATCTTTTTCCCTTTCACCTGCCCTCAAGGAATAACTATTATTCCTTTCTCACCCAATCCCTTATCCCAGTGACCCTAAGGAATAATGTGCAATCATTGTTTTTTCCCTAACCCCAATTTCCCTAGGATATTTTACTAACGAGTCTTTCACTGCAATTTTGCCTAGATCCTGGTTTACAATCCAGCTTTTATGAAATACATCTATGAAAACTGGCTAGAGCATCATGGGAGATATCCCTCCACAGGCCTTCTGTCTTTGATGTTTGCTCTCCACGTATGCGATGAGGTAAAGTCTGACTGTGTTTTGGATATGTGGATAGAAAATCAGGACATTTCACACTGAAGAGCCAGGAACAACCCCTGGGCACTGACTCAGCCTTTGTTTTCCCTTCTCCACCTTCTCTGCCATTTACTTATTCAAACATATACAAATTCTTCAGTAACGTGCAGACACACTCAACTGACTGATGGATTTTTTAATGTCACCAAGTGGTAGAGTTTAAGATGCATTCCAGGAGAATATAATTAAACATAAACAGAGATTCCACTTCGTATCAAAAGACATCTAAACATGGAGGGTATCTGGGCCCATCTTGCTAGTGAAGAATTATATTTTGTCCAGCTCTTAAAGACTAAGAGCCATAGCTGTTGCCCTGGTCTATTTTTAAACTCAAGCTTGTGGGTTTATACAGTAGGTTATAGAAAGTGCCTCTGCTTCAGCAGTTCCTTGAGGAAATTCCCTAGTTTGACTGAGGTAACGTGCTCCTAGGTGACTCAAGACTCAGCTAGTTAGAGTAAGGCCAGGTCAGCTCTGCAAAATCCCACAAGCATGGGCTTGTCAGTATGGGGAATAAAAATCACTGTGGTGGCAAAATCTCTGTCCTGGATACTGATCTGCTGATGAAAGAGTTTTGGTCACCCAGGACTGTGTTGCACCTTGGAAAGGTGGTGGAAATACTAAAAATACTGGAAGAAATGGTACCCAGGAGAAAGTATGAGTGGCTTGGGTGGAGCCTGTTTTCTGGTGAGCAGGCAGTGAACAGGGCTCTGACGTTAGCAAAAATGACTTAAAATCAGCTCATATTTGGGTGGGCCCATGTGTGGGTGGTTTAGGGAGTTTGTTTTGTGGTTATGACCCATTCAAGCCCAGCCATATCATCACTTTTAGTTTAAATAAATTAACTGTGATGTTTGGACTTTTACCATCAGAGGATACAAGCATAGCTGTTGATGAAGAAGCCTCTGGGAGAGGAAAGGTTGTAGGTGTATACAAACAAGGAACATAATATCTGTCTCTGAAGTAACTGCAAGTATCATATAATTATGCATGTAAGTGGGGTCACCATCGGTAATTACTTGGAAGACTAGGACCAAGCCAAAATTGTTTCACTCTTTGTGGCCTTAATCAGCTAAAAAAGACATTCCCATCCCAAGCCACTGATGTCTCGAGGTCAAACATCATGCTTAAGGGATGGAAATGTGGTTTTCACATTGCTAAACAAGAATGAATGGATAGAAATTTCCTTTTCTCTTTGAATCCAGGTATGGTGGTGTCTCAACATAGCTTAGGATGTAACATCCCTTGAGGAGGCCTTGGGCCATTAATCTGTGGTTGCATCATGTCATGCAATAGAAGAACTTGGCATACCACTGATGTCCTCAGGTGCTGCTGCCTATAAATACACTGAGAATTAAGAGAGTTTCTTCAGCATTTCAGATGAAGACCAATTGCTTTCTAATTCATAACACAAGTTGTCTCTTACATCGTAGGTGAGTGTGTACGGTTTTGGAGCAGACAGCAAAGGACACTGGCATCACTACTGGGAAAACAACACTTCAGGTGGGGCTTTCCGGAAGACAGGCGTCCATGATGGGGATTTTGAGTTCAATATAACTTTGACTCTTGCCTCCATTGAAAAAATTAAATTTTTCAAGGGCAGATGACCCTGGCCACGGGGAGGAGTGGGGGCTGCAATTTCCAACATGCAGCAGAACAAAGCTCAGTGAAGATGATCTGGGCGCTAGCCAGGTTTGAAGGCGTGGACCTGTGGTGGAATCGGAGCATCTCAGACTGCAGGGAACTGGGCCAAGGACCGGCCTCCATGCTGCACATGATTTCCTATCCACGAACAGCCGGGAGCTATCAATCAGTTGTGGGAATAAATTAGTCTCTGTTTAGGCTCTACGCCTTGATTCTTGAATTCCTGATGAAAGATCTGCCTGTTGCAATTAGAGGAAACCTGGGCACAGGAACTGCTGTCTGTGTGTCCATTCTTTCCTTGAGCAAGGCAGGAGATCCCTGAAGAAGAGTGAAAACGACTTTTGGGACCCGAGACCCATTAAGGCAGCTGTGAACATCATAGTAAGGATTACCTCAAAGAAATGAATTCACTTCTGCTGTTGATCTTCTTTTGAACTGTTTCTTCTGTTTTTTCTATTACTTCTGTTTCCATGCTGTATTAAGGAAAAACATGATGAAGTTGCCTGGAGTAGTAAATATTTGAACCATTGCCTCATTCTGCATTGATAGGGTCTAGAAAATATGAATCAAAACATTTCTTATCTTGTAGTATTTAATATTGCTTCCTATACAGCCATAATGATGGGAGAAAACAGTACTGAAAACTCCAGAAAAAAAAAATGGCCATTTTAGCCACTTATTTGTCTTGTTTGGTTATATGTAATTCTTTTTCTTCTTTTTTTTCTTTTTTTTTTTTTTGGTGGAAAATACTCTGGAATGCTCTTTTTATTTAATCAATTTAAAGTTGGAAAGTGGACTTTCTTCTTTAAGTCATTTATATGTGCCTTTTATAATTGTGCAACAAATGTGATTTTTTTTTTTTAAGACGACAAACCCTAAATTAAACTTTTTTATAACGGGGGGGAAATTAACCAAAGTTTATCTTCTATCTGGTACATTTTTGTAGTCAAAACCAATAATAGCAACTCCTATGTTGCATTTGAGCAAACACAAACAAGACTAGTTTTTAAAGGTAGCTTTTACCTTTTTTTATGGGAAAATATCCAAAAGTCCCAAGGAAACTTTTCTTCTTATTTTTTTACAAATTTAAAAAAGTGTTATCTCTTTACAACGTCTATTCAAAATGGCAAAAATATCATGAGTTGGGACACCAACTAGTAATACAATAAGAATTGTTTGCTCTGTAGCTGGACCTACAAAGACACAATCTGTGGAAGCTGATCTTACAGCATAAGACTTCAAAATTATGTGCATCTCTGGAGGAATGAGCATGTTAATGTCAGTACCTCTAGGCAGTGAGAGAAGGGAGGTTACAGTAGAGGTTTTGTATCCACAGATTTTTGCTGGAATCAACACATTTAAGCCTCAAGGACAGATGAAGTATGAATCCAAGTTCAGGCAGTGAAGAATGGAAAACAGTGGTGTTTTCTTCCTGATTTCATGAAAACAGGACTCATGGGTTATTGACCCAGTTTCAGCTCTGGTGAAGTCTGCCAGAGGCTTCAAGGGACTTCCAATCAGGCTTGTTAAAAATGGCATATTTAATTTTTAATATATCACAGTGGCTGGGGTTTATGGCAAAAGAAATCATCATCTAAATATGTCCTCTTCCATGCACCAATTGTGGCAGGATGTCCAAGCAAATGAGTATTTTGAGCTCAGTGAAAACCCTTGAATCAGTGACGTGCTTCATCCAAGATTTATCCCCTTGTCTTTCTGTGGCAGCTGGTAAGAGGGAGGTGCCCTCCAAGGCAGCAAGACATGGCACAGTGGCATGGTCAGCTGCAATTTTGGGCTACAGCACCACTCACAACATAAACTGCTTTACCCACATGGGTATGAGTGCACCCTTGGTGTACAAAGAGCCGAGAATGCCAAATGAACATGTGGATAATTGAGCTCCCTTTGCTCTACATGTGACCCCTCAGCTTAGCAATATGGAAATGGCAGGATTTTCAAACCCTCATGTTGAGCCTTGTTGATGATCCTTATGTCAAGAAGCCCTTTCCCAGCATGGTAGCCAGTAGAACTCACCTGCATGTCATAGGCACAGCAAATTGAATGGGCTTACTGTCTTCTATATGTCCTATGTAAAAGAATGAAACATTTCTACCTGAGCCATGTTTGTTTGTTTGCTTTAAGCATTCCTGCTGTTTAAATTGATGTTAATCAATATGCTTCTGGTGAGTTGGTGCAGTAATACGAGCAAAACAACTTGAAAAGGAAAAAGACTACATGGAAGACCCCAGTGGTATCCTCACACTGTGGCTGGATTTTGGATCCTCAAAATGCTGGGGTTTTTTTCATGGAAAGATGTCAGGAATTCAGAAAGTGCTCTTTCAGTCATTTTTAGAACGATTTAGAAGAAAACTCATGGCGGTTCAGTACCCATATCCCATTGATATATTTTTTTATCACAGGAGGCAGTTTAGAATCAAAGAACGTGGTAAAAGAAGCCAAGATATATTCTAGTCTGTGTTGTTTTGGAAGTTTCCTTTTCCTGTTCTAATTAAATTTCCCATTTTCCCCTGAATATTCTGCCTCTAACAGCACATATAAAACCTTATGGCTCATACTATTGCAGATAAATTTCGTGTCTTCATCATGGAACAAGCTGCAATTCCCATTTAATTTTCTTACCAACAGCAAGCAGTAACTGTGTACCACTGATGTCCATTTTTCAGAGTATGAGGAGAGCAGAGAGTGGATGTCTCCAGGTGTAAGATGAAGAATAGTCTGTGCCATCACATTCTATTCCAGAGGAACATTTTCTAGAGTTCTTTAGGCAGCTGACTGTGGTGCTAGATCTTTGTCTCAGTTTCTCCACAATTTTGCTGCTCTTTCAAATGCCTTTGAGATACCCACAGATGATGCTGAGGGAAGAATTAATTTCTACTGCCATTGTTGAAGACTCTGTTCCTGCTAGAAACTTTCTGGGTTTATTTTGTTTAAAAGAACAACCAAGGAAAAAATTCAGCAACAAACTCTTGGACTGTATTTGCCACCACTGCAAAGTCTCTGAAGCACTCCTTGAGTGTGTGTTATGTTTTTTACCAAAGCCAAATATCTTGAGCACTTTTTTCTTCCCATGACCAGATTCTCTTCCTATTTTTGTCTGACTACACAATTCATTATGATTTTTTTTTCTCTGATGGTGGAGAGTCTTGATCATTCTTTGTCATTTTATTTATTTAATTTTTCAGTATGATATGAATCAAAATAAATTTTTTATTATAATCAAATCAAAGGTGTTTGTCTCTGTACACACTTCTTCTTTCCACAGTATTTTCATTATCTCCTAGAACCTCTCCTGTCACATAACAGTGTAATGAAACCTTATATGACTTCCCTCCCTCCCATCCAGTTGGACACAATGGTCTTAGAGGTCTTTTCCTACTTTTATGATACCTTGATCCCTCGGGTGACCTTGCTATGTTTCAGGCTGCTAGAAACCTTGTGGTCTTGGGCATCACACTGCTCACCTTCTGGCAGCTCTAGGCCTCTCTGGAGAAAAAAACCTGAGCTTTATATACTTGTGGTCTCTTGACGAATCTGTGCTCTATTTAGGTAATATGTAAGGGAAATTAGGGCAAGCTCAGAAATCAATTACTTGAGAAGAGACTCAACTTGTCTGTCTCCTCTGTGACCCACAGAGCTGACTGAGATGCTGAGGATCCACACCAGATCCCCGTTTTAAGGGCCTAATTCATCTGCTGTGATCACACGAGCCCTTCAGTCACAGATGGGCCAAATGTGCATTAGAAGAACCCCATGTAGGAGATGATGTCTTTGATCAGGCATCACTTCAGCAGGCCACACCACTGCATCTGCATGATCATATGGAGACTCCACCTGAGCTATTATGGACCCCATCAACAGCTCACTTTCTTTATGTGCTGTTTCCTTTTATTGTTTAATCGAGTGACTAGGGTAGATGATCCAGCAGTGATAGAAGTTGCCCATTGAAATGCAACCATCCTGGTTGCTTAGTGGTAAGAAAGTCAAAAAGTCATCAGAGGGCAGCTCGAGAAGTTCCTATTCAGATATGGGCAATGATCTGATGGTCACAGTAAGAGCTGCTGTGCAGTATGACCTTCAGAGGATCGGATTCTCAGAAGCTGCTTCACATTTTGCTTTTTAACCCAGGCTCTGGACATGCTACATCACTGACATATTAACCACCATTAACAGATACAACCCAACCAGAATCACACTTGTTGAAAATGAGTAGGAAGCAGAGGCACAGAAGCCTGAGGAGCTGTCCCAGTCACTTCAGGTGCAGAGGAGATGCAAATCCCTTGCTCCTTTGTCAAAAGGTAACAGCTTGCTCTTGAACATCATTTTGCATTTTGCTTCATGTCCACTCATAAGAAATGCAGCTTCCAGGTCTGAAATTATTTTGTCAGGAAAGTAATTTGCATAGAATTACAATTGAAAAAATGCCTGAGACTAGTAAGACATGCAGCAGCAACATGCAGACGGATGGACCGACAGGACTTGGACAAAGGACTTTGCTAACAGCATCAAATGAAGAAAGTAAGTACCCACAGGGGAAGTATATGGCTTCAGTTCATGGCGTGGGTTCCTCTGATGGCTCACAGTCAGAATAACAATTAAACTCAACAAACGAAAAGGCAAAAAAATCTCTGTTTTCACTTGTCTTTCCTACAGAATTTCAGGGAACAGATCTCACTACATTTTGTTATCATCAGGCAATATGAAATAAAATATGGTTCACAAAATGAAAATTTCTTCGGTACTCGTATGCAGAGGTAAATCTGTGTTTTCACTTAAATCTTCTCCTACTCTGACAGTACATTTCCCACAATAGTTACTTTTCCCACATAATCAGAGACTCCAGATTTACACGGCAACTGCAGCTGCTTCCCTGTCCACGCAGACACTAGGTCAGTGAGAAAAGTGTCCTAATCTGTGCCACTAATGTTGCATCCTGCAGCACCATGGTGTCCCTCCAAGAATGCCCCAACTGCCTTCAACTCAAGTGTTATGTCAAGGACACCTTTAAGGCAGTTTCTCCCCACGTGGATTGTTTTGTTCCCCTCCCTTCTTTCCTGAGGCTGGCCCCAAAGAGCTGCCACCACCCAGGAGAGCTGCACATTGCTCCCCCAGCCCCATCCTGCTGCCTATTTGAATGCATTGGCCATACTTGGGTTGTGCTTTGAAGCATGTCCAGATTGCAGCCACATCCTGTGTTCAGCCTGCGCAAATACCTGAGTGGGTTTCATACGGCAGAAAAAATGGAAAGAGTGATTTCATAGAATCAATCCCAGAATCACAGAATGGCTTGGTTGGAAGGGATCTTCAAGATTATTTCATTCCAACCAAGCTACCATGGGCAGGGACTCCTTGCACTAGACCAGGTGGCTCAAAGTCACATCCACTCTGGCCTTGAACACTTCCAGAGATGAGGCATCCGCAACTTCTCTGGGTAACCATTGCCTCACCATTCTCACAGTAAATAATTTCTTCATAACATCTAACATAAATCTCCAGTCTTTTAAATTAAAATAGCTCCCCCTTGTCCTATCACTATTTCCACTCTCCTTTAAACATTCAAGGATTTTGTACAACACATCCTCACGTTCAGATATCAGGTGGATATGTATGAGCAAGTTCTCCAAGATGCTGATGAGCTTCTGCCTGCAGTGGTGGAATCACAGGCAAAGTCATGGGAGAGACTGATGACTGATGGTTCATCATGGGAAACATCAAAGAGTTGGCTGCAGGGATAAATTCTGCAAGATGACAGGCTCTGTCATTTAAGGGTTTGATTTGAATAGGAAGGTAAGGAAATAGAAACAAACAGACGTTAGGGTGAAGACAGGATACATAAAAATAAAGCCAAATGGATCTTCTAGGAAACCTTTTGAAGAAAAGTAGGGGTTTACCCCTTTGTTTGGTCCATCAAAGTTGGTGAGCCAGAAGAGAATTAGGCTGGTGATGCTTTCGAGCACGCATTGTGATTTGACCCCAGCCAGCAGCCAAGCACCCACACAGCCACTCACTCACATTCCCCCACCACCAATCCCAAACTCAGTACTATATGGGCTGCTAGGAAGAAACCTACCTCCATTCCACCAGATTAAAATAAACTAGATTCTTAAAGGCACCTGTGAATTCAAGGGGTCCTAAGACCTTTCCTGAAGTCTGAGAACTGGTATTACCAATAACACTTGAGATAAATCTTTAGGTCAAATTTAACCAAATTACCTCAGTTGCTAGTTGTTTCCAATGACTCGTTCATCCCAGATAGCACTGGATTCTGGTGAGATTATTACTCACCGCTAGCAGGAATGACAGGATACCAACTGAAAAAAAAAAAACAGGAGCTGCTTCAGGAGGAGTGCAGCTGGGACATTGGTGGCACTTCAGTTCTTGTTACTGTGGGAGCTGGAAAAACATTTTAAACCAACAGCCAGAGGCCATGAGAAATCACTGTTTTATGTGGCCGTGGGCATGGTGTTTGCTTCCCTCCCCGGGTCAGCACAACGCTTCCTTCCCTGGGTGCTATTCCACCAGTGACAGCCCTCTCTGGGGTGGCTTCGTGGGGGCCGAGGGAACTTTGCTGCTTGGTAGCAAAAGTTGCAAGTTTGGCCCACAGTACATGACTTTACAGCTTAGCAGAGAGATCCAGCAGATGCAAGTAAATGAAGCCAGAGCAAAGTTTTTATTTCCTATAATAAGCAACGGAATGGGAAGCATCAGCATGCACGCAGACTAACAGGCCTTTGAGCAGTGAGATGTGATTAACTCATTTCAGTCAGCGCTGGGAATCTCAGCACCTCATTAGCTTTTTCGTTAATGGTTACAACTAATACCTGATTAGTGTCTGTTTTGCCAGTAATGAGTTCTCCTTCTTAATGGAGACAGAGTTTTCCAGTGGGTGACAGTGAAAGGGAGAGGGAAGGAGCCCCCTGATTACTGTGCTAATGGGGCACCTCGCCATTGCCTGTCACTGACCCCACTGCCCTCCCGCACCCTGTGAACTGGCCCTGCCACCCTGGCATGGAAAAACATGCACTGTGCCAAGTGCACTCAGCAAGTCAGAGAGAGTGGACCCAATTCTGTTTCCTGAAAATGGAATCAACCCAAGCTCTGAGACAGTAGGTGGGAGAACCTTGGAAGGACTGTCCCCCTGCCTGGGCTAGTGGGTAATAGGGGCAACAAATGATGTGAGATGCACAGCGATGGGAGAAGAAACACTGGATAGAGATAGGAAGCAATGGCTGCTTTCACACGGAGCACAGTGATTTTTTTTTCCTACTAGATTTTTCTAGTAGACTTTAATAATTTCCCCACTAGAGCGTGCTATTTTCCTGTTCCCATGAGTTATCCGGTGACTCCTGGTGCACTCAGCTCTCTTACAGCAGTGTGTGTCACATCACGGGCTCAAAGTTTGTTCCGTCCTGGCACTACTGTCTTCACAGCTGTAAGGCTTGGGATTTATTTGCTAAATCTATCCATTTTGGCCTCTGGGTAAGAACTAAACGCAGGAGCCCACAGGCCATGAAAGGGATGAGAAGGAAGATGGGATAAGTCCTTCAAGGCTTCATACTCTGAGGGTTCACTGTTATCTCTACAGTTTTCCTTTCCTATTTGAAAGGGGACAACACTCCTAGCTAGGGAAGGGAGGGGTGAGAGGGGGTGGTGTTTACTGACCCTTTAGAAATGCTCACAACTAAAAAAAAAAAAGGAAAAAGAAAAAGAAAATTCTTCCCTTGAAACCTAATTTCCTGACAAGGGACAAATATGTGGGGCTCCTGGCTCTGTTGCAATGCTCAAATGGTTTTAGTTTGGGATGTAAAAGGCTTTAGCTATAGCAGATCAAAATGTCCTTTGTGGACCATAAAGGCAACTCAGTTGTTTCTAACAGGACTTTGATGTTATGCCACCAATATCATCAGCTTGTACAGTTTTGGTTTTATTTGTTCTCAGCTGTAGTACCCAAATGTTAAATGAGGGACAGATATATTGTAAAAAACAATCAATGCTGTAAATTAATTAGCAGGGTTCAATGAAAGCAGAGGCTCTATCTGGCTGCTGACTGCCAGCAGCACATATGCTCATGCCCTAGAGTTGAGGCAGAGGGGAGCATGCCATGGTCAATGGCAGGGATCCATCTGGACTTCTCTCTCAGGGCAGCTCTGCTGGGTGATCACACCACGTCCCATCGCCTGTCCA